AGCCCTGGTCTGGCGGAAACACTGCCTGGTTGTCTTTTTAAATCTTAGGTAGTGTATATTCACATTTGTCAATGCCTTCTAGTAGTTGTATTAAGTACACTCCTGCATAGTAGCTGCTAAAGCCATATACTCAGCTTCACAAGTTGATAAAGCAACAGTTGGCTGCTTTTTGGTTTTTCAGGAAACCACTGGCCCGCTCTCATTAAGGCTAACACAATAACCTGACATACTACTCTGTCGGTTAGATCAGCAGCCCAATCTTGTATGCTTGTAAACCCAGTTTTTCACTCTTACATTTCCGGTAACACAGTTCCNNTGTCGATTGTACCTTTCAAATATCTCAGTACATGTTTTACAGTAGTCCATTGCTCTTCTGTCGGCTCAGAAAAATACTGGGACAGTTTACTGACAACAAAACTCAAATCAGGTCTTGTGCACATAGCCAGGTAGATCAGGCTACCTACTGCCTCTCTGTACATTCTAACATCCTTCATCGATATAGCATCATCTAAGTAGTTCAGTTTTTGCTCACAAGGTGTCACTCTTGGTTTACAATCCTTCATGTTAAACCTTTCAAGTATTTTGTTCACATATTTCTTCTGTGACATCTTTACACACAGTTTGCCAAGGAAATGTTTTAGTTTGCCCAAGTCTTTCATCCTGAATTTAGCTATGAGCATCTCTTTAACAACTTTCAATGCATTGTTATCACTAGCTGCAATGGTTATGTCATCAACCCATATTATCATTATCACTTTCCTGTTTCTTTTGTGTAAACACAATGGTCAGCAGGGTTCTGTAGGAATTCATTTTCACTCAGATACTCATGCAGCATGTTGTTCCAATTTCTGCCTGACTGCAAGCCCATATAGTTACTTTTCTATCTTGTACACCAACTTTTCACCTTTACTGGATTTTACCTCAAAACCTTCTGGCTGTTCCATGTATATCTCACAGTCTATTGGTGCATGTAGGGAAGAAGTTTTAACATCCATTCGGTGTCAAATCAGATTTTCCTGTGCTGATTTTTGCATTAACACTGATACTGGTGAGGTTAGCGGTAGATGAAAATGTCTCATCATAGTTTTCACCCCTCTTCTGACTATCCCTTGGCTACATATCGTGCCTTGTATCTTTCGGACCCATCAACATTGGTTTTGATATCATACACCCATTTACCCCTACTGCTTTCTCACTTTGAGGTAAGTTGGTCAGGATAAATGTGTCATTTTCTTTTAGTGATTGCATTTCCTCATCCATTGCAATAACCCATTGTTTTGATGAAGTTACAGCTTCCCTAAATGTTAAAAGGGATATTGCACATTAATCTGTAACAATAGTAAATATTTGTCAGTAGCTGATCCTCACTTTCCTTACCACATACACTGTCACATAAGTAAGCTGGCTTCTTCCTCACTCTTGAAGGATAACGCCTAAGCTCACTGTTGTTGTCTTGTTAAATTACATTACATTGCATTTAGCTGACGCTTTTATCCAAAGCAACTTACAATATGTGCATTCGACCAGGAAGATACAACCTTGAAGAAAACAGAATCATATAAGTACATCAGGTTTCATAGAGCCAAACATTTCAAGTGCTACTCAACTGGCTTTAGATAAGCCAGCCCTTTATTAGTATATAAGTGCTTTGTTAGTAATTCTATCGCTCGAAGTCTCTGTTACCACAGGTATAGATACTGGACTAACGTTAGTATCGCACTTGATTTTTCAAGATTTGTTCAGTACCTCAAAGTCATCATTGGAGACGGTTTCTGTTTGTGTTTCTCTTTCTGCATTGGTCTTGGTCACAAACTTCACAAGACTAGATTTTTGCACTTTTCCACTGTGAGGGAAATAGACCATGGAGGCAGGACTATTTTTGTCATATCCAACAATAATTCCCTTTTCACACCTTGAGTCCAGTTTCTTTTTGTCTTGCTTATAGGCATAGCACACTGTTAACGTTTCTTCGTCGCGTCGCGTGGATTAACCGATTCAGCCGCGTTTTTTCTCATTTTAATGCCATTGAACACGTCTTTTGATCAGATTGACAGCTACGGTGAGACGATCTCCCGTAAAAGCTCCGTAAAGGTACATGTTGTGATGTCTGTGTTTGCTTCCCCTGTCGCGAGATCGGATCGCTTAGATACTATACTTAAATAATCTGTGGAGACAATACCTTCATCCGGTTAAATATAGTTAAAAAAAACGCAATATATACCGCAGGGGGGGGAAAAAAAATCACGATGTCAGTTTTTTTCAATATCGTGCAGCCCTACTCTGGGCCCATAACCTGTTAACAGAGTAAGCTTTACGATCATTGCTGTTTAGCATCCAAATAAGCGGATGAATAACGAAGCATCCGAGACAGTGACATTTCATTCAACGAACACTCCCATTGGAGGCGTGGCTTTATTTATACCCGTCATTGAACTTTAACCTGGTTCGCTATTGGCTTCCAGCCATGCACAACAACTCACAAACACAAATTGGTAACACATTTACCTGAATGTTAACACTGTTGGCTTGTCAACCAGACAGAACTATCACTATTTGTTCTGGTTTTCAGTGTTTTGGTTCACATGTTTTCTTCCTCATGTTACTGCGGATGTGAAAGCAAGACCAGCGCAACGTGTTCAAATATAAGTTATCATTTACATCAGAAGAACTAGGAAACTCATTATCGCTCATGACCTGCTTTGCTTCTGCACTTAGTGTTTGAGTCTTTGAAGTAAAGTTGGAACACACATACGTACTGCAGGAAAGCTTTTTTGCTGTATTGCTCTGTTTATAACTTCCTTGATTTTCTTATACAAGTCTTACAGATGAAAGCCTGCTTATGTATTTTTTTTTAATCAACCTGACATTCTACCGTTTTCCTTCCAGTCTCTGTCAAAACAGCCACAAGGAAAGTAATGTGTGTGCCTCCCCAGGTGACTATTCTTACCCGTAACACGATTCTCGGTTATGCCTTCTATTCCAGTACTGCCATTCATAAAACTCAAGCTCTCCCATTGGACTTGACCTTTCTATTGAAAATACCTCACAGATGTGTTCCAATACTTCCCACTTAACCCCATGTACTTGCCTGATCTATATGATAAGCATTTTGGTTGGCGATATACAATAAATGACTGTGTTTTTCTGTTGTTGTACTTACAACAAATACAAGACACACACTGAGGGACATCAATACAACTGCCCATTTGAAAAGCTGCTTTCAATTTTTTTTTTATTCATACTTTTGTTGATTTATTTAAGATCTATAGGTGATACAAGTGCACCAAGTCATATCTTAGAATGCATCTGACTTTTTGGTTTCCTTTTCCCTAAAGTAGGTGTTCCACATACTCTGACATGATAAGAAGAATGCCTAGTATATATTGATTAACAGGGACAGAGCTTATTAGGCCCACGGAAACAACATATGGCCATGGTCTGTAGCTCTATTGCTGTACAAATCTATGTGTCATTGAACCAGGTTATATTACTCAATGCACTGCACCTGTCAATACTAAACCATGGCTTGTGGATAGACAACACAAACACACATTTCATCTATTCTGTACATAAGGGGAAATGTTGCAATGTGGTCACGAAAGACACAATTCTAACTTTCAAGTTGGCAATTTCAATTAGATAAAGTAGCCTTTTTATTTTAATCGCTGTGTTGTTATATCTCTCCAGGCTGCATTCCAATTAAACACTTTTATAGCAATTGAGCTTAAAAATATTGAAATCAGTGTCTGGAAGCTTGTAGTATCCTGCACCTTATAACCTTTTGCAGAAAGCTTAAAATCTGATTATCAACAACGATGACTGGGCTGAATATCTGCTCTATGCTGCAAAATGGTGATCATATAACCAATGACAAAACGTGTGAACTTTTACTAGGGAATGTACAAGTCATAGATGAGGGGGACATGAATGACTGTCATTTTTGTATCCCATTCTCAACATTCACACTTGTTCTTTGGTGGTTAAGTGGGACGCACAGTGATAACCATTAAAGCATGAAAAGATGCAATGGAAACAACACAACGTCCCCGTGTTTACAATAAATGGCACATAAAAAAGGTTGAAGCTATAACACAGCATGTTCGTATAGCTGTACATGATAACAGTTAAAGAGCAACAAGCTAGGCCCATTCTCCACAGGCGGCCATACTCAAATGCTGTATTTCATTCCAGTGGGTTGTTAGCACATTCCTGGATGGAGACTGTGTTGATCTTCATGGTGTATACATACTTATGTGAAATGCAAGCAGCTGCTGCAGCTAAACGTAAAAGAAAAAAATAAGACTCCCATCCCTTTTCGGCAACATCAAAGCAAAGCAGCAAACAAACAAGACAGGAGCAAGAAAGCAACATGTATGTGGCTACTGTTAGTACTGTTAGCTGATTAGCTAACACTAGCTCAGCTGAGTACATGCAATCAGGACAAACCAAGTTAAATGATGGTGACAACCTCTCCACTGTGTTCTACAAACTACCAAAGCCACATGTTAACATACAAGGACTAGAGAAAAGCATTTTCGTGCAAACATAATTTTACCTTTGCCTTTTCCAGAGGGGAGAATTTCAAGACGTGCACAAAAGGGTTTCTGAACGGAGGAGCTTGGTCCATCTTCTTTCCATCTTCTTCTATCGCACATCGTCTCTTACTCGGTAACCTCATTCTTGCAAGAAGTCACGTTGGTCGGAGTTACAGCTATATTTTTAACATTCCGAACATGAAACGGGGTATGCCTAAAACGTAACGTTGGACCCCTCACGCAAAACGCAGTTTACCTTATCACTATTGCACGGTGGATAATTCAGGTGGCAGTGCAATGTTATTATCGTTATCTCCGTTTCTCGGACAGCATGGAGGGATAATGGTTAGTTAAAGGATTAGCTGGGGATATTTGAAGTCGCTGATATATTTCTGCCTACAGTGCGCAGGACGCCTTCCTCCACACCGTGTTCCCCAAACAGTCTGCTAGTCCTGGATGCTAACGGAGCCACGATTCTGCTCTTCTCTCAAGGCGCATGCGCCACACATCATTCGCATCTATATCACGGTGCCTTGGATGCTTCCTTCACAACTGTCCAATGTAGTTTAAATATTGAAGCATCGATTTATAATACTGTTCTACTTTTGGAGAGGGAATGGAAAACATATAATCAACTATTAAAGTATGCACAATTGGTCAATAAAATAGCCATACTGTAGGAGTAGGCAAAATAAATGTAATGTCATAGACAGAAAATAAGGTTGTCACAGATGCTCAAAGACAGCAATAGTAAAATGACATACAAAGAGTAAAATTATGTAGGAAACATAACAGGTTACCTGAGATGAAAATAAAATAACATAAATGCATCCTGTGTTTCATCTGGTTACTGTCATATCAAGCCTTGCACCAACTCTCAAAAGGTAAAGTATCAATTGTGTTCTCTATTGCAATGGATTCTGTTATGCAGATTACTGGAACAATATATTGGATGTTGCTGCAATGCATCACATGTTGCTTACTGCGACCCTGCAGCTATTTCTGAAATATAACATCAAACTAACAGACTGTCATTCAATTACCTTTTAAGAAATGTAAAGAGGAACTAATCATTGCTGCCATTGTGTTTTTTTTTTAGTTGGCCTTAGCTCCCCCTGAAGGCTATATATTCCCAGTGTGTCAATCCGTATCTATAAATAACAAGGAAACAGTTAATAGGCAGTGTGTGGCTGCTTGTCTATTAGGTCTTGCACTCTGGTGGCTTAGGCTGAAGAGGCAGTACCACCTGCTTTGCTAAGAACAAAAGGAAAGGTTAAACCTATTAGTGGCATCCAGCTCTTCATACAGAAGAAGAGTGGGAGTCTTTACAAGTAGGTGTGTATTATTGGACGGCTGCTTAACATAAAATGTAAAGTAGTGGTCCATAAGAGCTATTTCTGCCATGCATGCTTGCCATTGTGTATGTGTGTTGGTGTTTGAGCTAGACTAGAGTGTGTGTGATTGTGGATGTATACACAGATGGCGTACACATTTGTAACTGTGAGGGTATTATGCTCTGAGTGCAGTCATTGTCTCTGAAATGACTCACGACAGCCATACAGTGCATCCGGAAAGTATTCATACCCTTCACTTTTTCCACATTTTGTTACAGCCATATTTCAAAATGGATTAAATTCATTTGTTTTCTCAACATTCTAGACACAATACCCCATAATGACAAAGTGAAAAAAGTTTTTAAAATAATTTTTGCAAATGAATAAAAAATAAAAAACTCACATATAACATAAACATAATTCACACCCTTTACTCAATACGTTGTCGAAGCGCCATTGGCAGCAATTACAGCCTCAAGTCTTCTTGAGTATCATGCTACATGCTTGGCACACCTATCTTTGGGCAGTTTCTCCCATTCTTCTTTACAGATCATCTCAAGCTCCATCAGGTTGGATGGGGAGCGTCGGTGCACAGCCATTTTCAGATCTCTCCAGAGATGTTCAATCGGGTTCAAGTCTGGGCTCTGGCTGGGCCACTCAAGGACATTCACAGACTTGTCCTGAAACCACTCCTTTGTTATCGTAGCTGTGTGCTTATCGTCCTGTTGAAGGGTGAACCTTCGCCCCAGTCTGAGGTCGAGAGCGCTCTGGAGCAGGTTTTCATCAAGGATCTCTCTGTATATTGCTGTATTCATATTTCCCTTGATCCTGACTAGTCTCCAAGTTCCTGCCGCTGAAAAACATCCCCACAGCATGATGCTGTCACCACCATGCTTCACTGTAGGGATGGTATTGGCCAGGTTTGGTTTCCTCCAGACATGATGCTTGGCATTCAGGCCAAAGAGATCAATTTTGGTTTCATCAGACAAGACCATTTGTTTTTCTCATGGTCTGAGAGTCCTAGGTGCTCCATGCGGGTTTTCATGTGCCTTTTACTGAGGTGTGGCTTCTTTCTGGCCACTCTACCATAAAGACCTGATCGGTGGAGTGCTGCAGAGATGGTTGTCCTTCTGGAAGGTTCTCCCATCTCCACAGAGGAACACTGGAGTCAGAGTGACCATCAGGTTCTTGGTCACCTCTCTGACCAAGGCCCTTCTCCCCCGATGTCAGTTTGGTTTGGGCAGCAAGCTCTAGGAAGAGCCGTGGTGGTTTCAAACATCTTCCATTTGCAAATAATGGAGACCACTGTTCTCGTTGGGACGTTCAATGCTGCAGACATTTTTCTGTACCCTTCCCCAGATCTGTGCCTTGATACAATCCTGTCTCTGAGGTCTACAGACAATTCCTTGGACCTCATGACTTGATCTGTGCTCTGATGTGCACTGTCAACTGTGGGACCTCATATAGACAGGGGTGTTCCTTTCCAAGTTATGTCAAATGTATTTAATTTACCACAGGTGGACTCCAATCAAGTTATAGAAACATTTCAAGGATGATCAGTGGAAACGGGATGCACTTGAGCTCAATTTTCAGTGTCAATGTGATATTTAATTTGATTATTTTTAACACGTATGCAACAAATTCTTTAAAAACGTTTTCACTTTGTCATTATGAGGTATTATGTGTGGAATATTGAGAAACACAATTAATTTAATCCATTTTGAAATAAGGCTGTAACATAACAAAATGTGAAAAAAGTTATGAGGTATGAATACCTTCCGGATGCACTGTATGACATATTTTATTTATGAATGATGTATATTAATATAATATAATTGCATAATTGTGGAGGAACTTAAAATGCTATACTGATGGTACAAGTTTAAAGCCTAAGATTGTATGATCAAAAAGTATGTCCAAAGTATATTCATTAGATATTTTTTGTCTCAGTGCAATCATAAAACATTTGTATTTGAAAAGGGGAGAATTGTTCAGATCTATAAAACCCATACCATTTTAATAAAATAAATGAAATATTCCTAGTAGAAATAAGCTATAATCTCGTCTCTTCTCTCCTATAGCCTTGATGTAATATATTTTGGAATGTGACACCTTTGTATTGTGTATTGTTTGAATTGACTAGCTCATTATAACTGATGATATGATTCCCTCTAGTGGTGAAAACCTCACAGTACATTCAGAGGTTCTATATTTCAAAATGAAAAAACTGCAAAATAGAAAAAGCACACACACTCAATCATTGGTGCAAACACACACAAACCCACAAACCTGTCATGGACCATACAATACACTAAGGCTAAGCAATATACTTTGTTCTACTTCACAATAATTGTAGCGTGCAAATGTTAACATTCCCTTTTGTTCAGTAATGCAGGATATACTTAGCAAGCAGAGCCAAGAGAGAATGTAGACACCAGAAAGTAGATAAGGCTAATTCAATAAATGATTATTAAAACTATTTTCAAAGCAAGTACCAGCAACAGTTTAACTTTCTTTGAGCGGGTGGAAAGATTGAGGTGATGAACTCTTTTTCACCCCTATGTGATTCTTCAAATGAAACTAAGTTTCGACCACAACATCCTGTTTTGTTGACTCATTTTTAAACCATGTACATTTCACTTGTGATTGAACTTGTGACAGTGAAGGAGGTTTCACAAGCAAGTGTTAGTGTCTTACTGGAACAAGGTATGAGGACAAAAAATGTAAATGAAAAACAATACCACAACACTGTCTAGGCAGGATCAAATTATAATGCAATGCAATATGATAAAACTCATTTATTCTCGAGCAAAGCTGCACCTGACCAACGAAGACAAAAATCCTGCTGTCCTATTTTGATTGGCTATTTTCTATTTGTAACATATTGTAGGGCTCTTATTGGCACAATCATAAATCTGGCAATTTCAGATGTAAAACTTTTCAAGACAAAGAAAAAACCAAAAGCGGCACACATCCTTACCACAGTGCTTTATACTGCTTATGAACTGAATTGTGCTCGCACAGCAGTTTCTAAAGTCCTACATTCACAAACCTATTGATTGGACTACATTTTCATATACTGTAGGTACTCAAGCATGGGGTGTGAAAAATAGCGCTGTATGTTGGAGAGACTGTACTTTATTTATCACACTTGATTTCTCCTTGTCCTCTCAGCAATCATGTTTTAGCTTACGACTTTTGTAATTGCAAGTTTGTCAAGATCAGGCACTCGAACGTACACAAATATGCTGGATGCACATCTTGCAGGCACAAACACACACCCACCATTCAACTTCATATTTTAATTTGGGTGTGGAACGTGTAGTCAAAGTGCCCTGTGGGCTGACCATATCAGGTCGTGACATTTGCATTTGACAGGAATCACATCAGACAGGGTTAATACTGAGAAGATGGAGGGATAGAAAAAGGGAAAATAAATAGTGGAAAAGGTTTCCCCCATTCGTCCTACACCCCCTCCCCTCTCTCTTTCCCTCCCTCAATCCCATAGCTGAGGTGCTTAAATTAAAAAGGAAGAAATGCAATTTAAAGACATGGGGTAAACAATCACAGAACACTTGTTTCTGGAGGAGACACAATTTCCTGGTGCCTTGTCCAATTTCTTATGGCCCCGAGGGCTGCCGCATTCGTTTTAACACCTGGTTCTACACCGCTGATTAAAATTGTAATGCCAGTGTTGAATCAATCCATATGACATTTTGGAAATACACAAGTATCAGGTCATTTAATATATACAACATTTCTTTCTATTGTTTTCATTCGGAAAGAGAAAGGTGCAAGTGAAGGTGGTGACTCGCGCTGGGTGTCACTGCTA